AAAATTAGGAAATCTCTACTATACATTCTCAGGCTGTGATCTTTTGCATAGGCTTAGTTCAAAGTAGCAAGATCAATTTAATGATGAATGTTCTTAAGGTGCTGCTCTGTATAATACTACTTATTATTTTGTTGCTTTTGAAGATTGCATTAAAAGCACCCCTGACAGATGGCCATCCAGCCTCTGTTTAAAAGCCTCCACCACACTCTGGGACAGAGAGTTCCACTGCTGAACAGCTCTCACAGTCGGGAAGTTCTTCCTAATGTTCAAGTGGAATCTCCTTTCCTGTAGTTTGAAGCCGTTGCTCCGTGTCCTAGTCTCCAGGGCAGCAGAAAACAAGCTTGCTCCCTCCTCCCTATGACTTCCCCTCACATATTTATACATGGCTATCATGTCTCCTCTCAGCCTTCTCTTCTGCAGGCTAAACCTGCTCCTCATAGGACTTGTTTTCCAGATCCTACGAAGTAGCAGAATGAAAGCCTTTCATGGGTAGAAAAAATACTCATGTGTGTTAGCCCCAGTTTGAAAATGTGATTGTTTGAAATAGCCCAAGGAGCAATTTGAAAGTTTTTCAAAGTAAAATATAAAGTACCTGGAAGTTAGATGTTGGCAAGTAATACTTTTCAAATCATTCATTATTCTGAAAAGAGTTTGCTCCTAGTGGGAATCTGTGGATCCTACAGCCAACACAAATATGGGTATTGTATATATTTGTGTATAAGTCAAGGGCAGATTTGGGGGCCAAAAGTATTGATTTTGCTTTGATCCATAGTTAAGTCAAGGGTGGAAGTTAGACGCAGCCTTTCCTTTTAAAAAATGCTTGGAGGGAACATGCTTAGGAAGAGCTAAAGAAGGGGGAGGATCTGTTTATTTGAGGGGTTGTAATTAAGAGAGAGGGTGCAAATACAGAAGGGAAAAGAATATATATGAGGAGGAAGAAGAATGTGGCCTGGAGAAAAGAACAGGAAAAGCAGCCTAATAGAGGCAATTTGCTTTCCCTGCTCTTTCCCACCTCCTTTTTGTGTTTTCTAAACTTTTCCCAAGTGCAGCCCATATAGAGCATTATTTCCTGTTGTCTAACTGAAAGGTTATTATAGTTAGTAAGGTTCCTAGATCTCAGCTGCCTTTTTCAATCCACAGGTGAGGAATCTCAGAGCATTTCCTTGAAAAACATGTATGTTATGTGTGCACATGAACATACACATTTGCTTTTCCTTTGTTAGACTTTGGATTGCAAATTGCGCTTGATTCCTGTTGATGCTCCATTTAACATGCTTAATGTTACCAACAGCCTCTTCTTGGTTAGACATGCTAGCATTGGAGTCTCAGGGCCTGGGGTGGCATTGAAGAGACAAACTTAATGACTGTGGCTAGAGTTGGTGAGTGGCCTCTCTTTTAAAAATAAATAAATGATAGATCGGCAAAGAGTCGGATCTCCTGCAAATAATCTGACACTTCCCACTTAATATTTTGTTTTTGGCTTCAATCCTGTCAGCCTTTGCTATTTGATTTAGTCATTACAGAGAGTGATTGCTCAATGATTGACACAATACCCAGCAAACAAAAAGCTTCACTGCTTTCTAATGCCGTGGGCAAATTGCCAACGGAGCCAAACCTTTACTGAGCCTGGAACCCCAGGTTTCAGCGGTGACCAGGGGAGCATTCGCACAGTTAAAGCTTGTGCGCCAGCTGCACCCATATCTTGGGAAGTCTGACTTGGCCACGGTAGTCCACGCTCTTGTTACATCCCGTTTAGACTACTGCAATGCTCTCTACGTGGGGTTGCCATTGAAGACGGCTCGGAAGCTTCAATTGGTCCAGCGTGTGGCAGCCATGATACTAACAGGGGCGGCACACAGGAAGCATACAACCCCTCTGTTGCACCAGCTCCATTGGCTACCAATTTGCTACCAGGCTTTGGCCTATAAAGCCCTAAACGGTTCTGGCCCAAGTTACCTATCCAATCGCATCTCCACCTACGAACCCACTAGGACTTTGAGATCTTCCGGGGAGGCCCTGCTCTCGATCCCGCCTGCAACACAGGCGGCTGGCGGGGACGAGAGACAGGGCCTTCTCGGTGGTGGCCCCTCGGCTGTGGAACGCCCTTCCCACGGACATCAGATTGGTCCCCTCATTGATGGTATTCCGGAGGAAAGTGAAAACCTGGTTATTTGAACAGGCGTTTGAATAAGCAGTGCAATGAATTTCAGGAAATGGAACTACGACTGACGAGTTTGGATCATGATTCTAGTTATGAGACGCCACTGAATGTTTATTACTGTTAAATTGTTTAATTTGTTTCTGTGTTAACTGTTTTTAAGTACCTTGTTGATGCCGCATTGAATTTTTGCCTTGATTGTTCGCCTTGTTTTTGCTTGTTGTAAACCGCTATGAGTCGCCTTAGGGCTGAGAATGGTGGTATACAAATGAAGTAAATAAATAAATAAATAAATTTACTTTTCTTATGTATAGGGGAAAATGCAATTTGTTTTGTTTCCAGTATGAAAATGTTTGTTTTTTAAAAAAATACAATTTCCATATCAGAATGTCTAAAGGACTATGAAAGTCCTTTGTTGTAAATGAAAAAGAATCCCCAAAGTCCCGATTGAAAAAGGCGGGAGAGGGGTGGTGGTGGTAGAGATAAAGTCATTTATGGAGAATGGAGAAGTAGTAAAGTTGGCTGCAGGTCAAAAAACTACAGTTAAAGGCAATACATTCAAAGAAGGAGAAATAAATGAAGTTGCATGTAATTTGTCTCTATTACTGCTAAAATAGGTTTGCAAGAAACAAGATCATATTCTATTATTTGTAATTTAAGCAGGTTTGCAGTTGAGTGGAGTTTTATTTGTTTTTGAAAACATGGACAATTCACAGTGTACTTAAAAGCAAATTAAGTATGCACAATTCAAGTTGAATTAGTCTGACTGTACATCTTATTTATTTTTTTTAAATTGAGAGTTGTGTATTCTAGCCAAATCTCTGTAGACTGTGGTGATCCTGGAAGAATGCACAAAGAGAGTAGGAAACAGATGTGTGAAAAGGGTTATTTTAAAAGCAAGAATTTGCGGTCATTATACTATGAGGAAAGGCCAGCATATGGTAAAGGCTTGAGTATTGTACTACAACTTGGAGACCAAAACTCAAATCCTTATTTGGCCATAGAAATCTGATGGGTGTCTTTGAGTAAGTCATATTTTCTCAACCTCAAATGCCTTTGTTAGACCACACCTGGAATATTGTGTCCAATTCTGGGCACCACAATTGAAGAGAGATATTGACAAGCTGGAAAGTGTCCAGAGGAGGGCCACTAAAATTATCAAGGCTCTGGAGAATGAGCTCTATGAGAAGCCGCTTAAAGAGCTGGGCATGTTTAGCCTGAAGAAGAGAAGGCTGGAGTATGGTGGAAGCTCCTTCTTTGGGGTCGTTTAAACAAAGGCTAGATGGCCATCTGTCGGGGGTGCTTTAAATGTGATTTTCTTGCTTCTTGGCAGGGGGTTGGATTGGATAGCCCATGAGCTCTCTTCCTGTTGTAGTTCAGCGTGATATTAACGTTACTACTACGGGTAGAAGGGAGAAGAGGGCTGCGCAGGTGTTGGAGGAGGAGCAGCAGCGAAAGCGGATTACAGGTATCTTCATGGCTCCAACTGATTCCGAGTCCTTCGAGGATTTCTCTGACTGTGAAATGGGGGAAGGAGAGGAAAGCAGGGGAGTCAAGCGGGCTACTCGTGAACAAGAATCTGATGAGGAGATTCAAAGGAAGCGTATCCATGATATACTTAGCGCTCCAACAGAGGATGAAGACTTTATGGGTTTTGAAAGGAGTGATGGGTCTGAGAGTGACATGGGAGAGGAGGATGATCTTGACTGGACCCGTGTACAGGAGATTAGGGATATCTGTACCCAACCTACCTCCAGTGATAACTTTGAGGGGTTTACAGAAGAGTGACAATCTGGGAACACTTGGCAAGATCTAAGTCTTGACAGACGCTGGCAGAGGTGGAGAGATGGGAGGCTGGGTTCAGCTGCAGGGAATGGGGCAGCTGAGAGTGATGAGGAAAGGGTGGGGAGCAGCTCATCTTCTGATGAGGAACCTTAGGATATAAGTTGGTTGGGTTTCAATGGGTCTTTGCAGAAGGTAAAGTGTCTTTTCGGGTGTGAATCTTTGTTCCTGCCATTATTCTCGATCTTGGGTCCTTGGACTACAGATTTCCGTGTTTCCTTCTTGAAACTCTGTAAGTGATGACTTCTACTCTCCCGTTTTGACTCCGGACCATGTTTGACGATGACTACGCTTTTTGGACTATTTCATCTTGTTTGGAATGTGCTTGGACAATGGACTGCCTTTGGACACTGTTTTTGCTTCAATCCAAGTTGTTTTTGTATGTTCTTTGGACACTGTGAATTTCAAGCAGATTGCTACATGTTTCTGTTATACCGGATTATATGCCAGGATAATCTGGATTATATTTAAGTTGCTTTTTTCGCTCTGTGTTTGCTACAAACTCTTAGTTCATGCTTAAGACACTGAAGTAAGTGTCTCTATTTTTTGTATCTAATAAACCTGTGTTTGGACCTTTTACACTGTGTTTGGCGTTCTTGAGGCTTCTGGGTCTTGACACTTCCAGTACAATGATTCTATGATTCTATGATAGACTGCAGAAAGGGGTGCGGAAAGACTTGTTGTGAACATCTCTGATTTTAATCTTTGTTTTCCTCTGAGGCTGAGAAAGTGTGAGTTGCCGGGGTCACTCAGTGGGTTTCCACAGCCAAGCAGAGCCAAGCAGAGTTTCAACTATCCAGAATTGTAGTCAAACAAAATGGAAAACATGCACTCAACTTTTCTGTATTTACAAAGATAGAGTCATACATACTTCAAGATGAAGTATGGGCTCTTAATAGCAGAATATTATGCATAAACATCAGAAGAAGAGGAAATTAGACTAATGGTAAACAAATATCTACTCATATGACAAGGTTTCAGGGGGAGGGGGAAGACTTGCCTGTTCAAACTCTTCCATATCCACTTCTCCATCACCATTTAGATCAAACATCTTGAAAGCAATTTCAAAGTTCCTCTGAGGAGCTGTACAGAAAGAAATACATTACAGAGATGAACATATGTTATAAAATAATAAGGAAGCAGAGCACCTTTGATCTATGAATATTATCAGTACAAAATATTTATTTTAAAGAAATGCAATAGTTTCGAAAAACAAATTCACTTTGTACCAACAAATATTTTCATTAGCACAGATCTTTCTACACAAGTTTCCATCATGGTTCACACGGGATGTGCTACTCTCCTGGACTTATGGACACTCTTTTTATATAATGTTGTAAATTAATGTGCAATATTTGCTACAATCCCCACAAATGGAAAAATTGATAAGATGAAAAACAGTTAGGGTAATAGCGTATAACTAAACTGGAAAGGTACGTCAATAATGGGAGAAGAAGAAAATAAAATATAGGAACAGAACATTGAGATTACAAGCACGGAAGTGAACAGGTTTTACATAGTACACATGCTTGTGTACTAGGCATAAAATGTAATTCCATTTATTATCATTGGGGGGACCTGCATATCCATGTTTATGCATGCATGTTAGCATATATCACAGAAAAAGGCATAAAAACAAGAATATACAGCTCAGTGTACTTCAATTTTTCATAATCTATACACAATAAAAGTGAATGTTTGTATGTGTGTATATGGCAGCTTTCTGATTGGCTGCCAGTTTCACGGGCCACTGTGACCTGCACGAGCGACGAACCTGGACCAAAGTTGGCACACATAACCCCCATGACCACCTTTACATCCTAGTGACATTGAGGGAGGACAGACAAAGGATTATGGGATTTGTAGTACTTTCAAATCCTTTGGTTCCTACAGACTACTGCAGCCCCCAACAAAGACCGATAAAGACAAAATTTGGTACACAGAGCCCCCATGTCCCACTCTACAACCTACTGCTGTTTGGAGGAGGATGGGCCATGGATGATGGGATTTGAAGTACCTTCACTCACTTCCCGAGACCACTGCGACCCTCATGCAATGATGGATCAAGACCAAACTTGGCACACAGAGCCCTCATAACCCACTCTACATCCTAGTATGGTTTGGAGGAGGATGGACCACAGATGATGGGACTTGAAGTACCTTCACTCACTTCCCAAGACCTTTGCGACCCTCATGCAATGACAGATCAAGACCTAACTTGGCACACAGAGGCCCCATGACCCACTCTACATCCTGGTGCTGTTTGGAGGAGGATGGACTATGGACGATGGGACTCGCAGTACCTTCACTAACTTCCTGAGAACATTGCGAGCCACATAAATAACTGATAAAGTCCAACCTTGGCACACAATGCCTTTCTCAAATAACCCAGGCACCGCCGGGTCCCCAAGCTAGTCCGTAATAAAAACAGTTCACTCTCAACTACTGGCAGCAGCTAAACAGCCATCTCAGAAGTCAAGGAAAACTGGAGAGGGAATGGAAGGGTCCTGCTGGATTCTGAAGGTCACGCGTGGGACAACTAGCATTTCAGATGATACATCCCAGTCTTATTGAAAATAAATCCTTCCAACTTAAGAGAACCCTAAAGTGAATGTATCAAAGGTTTCCTTGGCAAGATCTTTTTAGTGGGAGTTTACTTTTGCCTTTCTCTGAAACTGAGAGAGAGCATATTGCTCAAGGTTTCATGACCAAGCAAACATCCAAATCCTGGTCTCCAGAATTATAGTCCAATACTCAAAGCACTAAACTTACTGCTTGTCACAAATGGTAATTCACAGCCAACTAATTATTCTAACTTTACTCTGCAGGTAACAGAGAAAATACCTTATGGATGGACCTCCTTTCATAAATACCATTAAACGACCACCTCCCCTTTATTTGTCATGGGCTTAGACAGATAACAGTAAGAGGCAGAGGTAGTTGTGGTGAAGGCATTGCCCCTCAATACAAATTCTGTCCTCTATACTACACTTTATCTTAGCCAAAAGGCTGAGAAGCTTCTCGGCCTTTTGGCTAAGATCAAGTGTAGCTGTCCTCTATAATTTTTCTTTGAGTCCCCACATTTCTAGCATTGTAACAGAAAAGCTTGGTTGAACATTTAGAAAGAGATTGTAGACATCCCAAAAAAAGCGGGGATGGTAAGAAAGGGTGTTCTAGGTGTGGATAGTTTAAAATATCACACTCTCTGTGATGCTAAAAATTCGGGACTGATGGGAAATTTCATGGAAGTGAGGAGAAAACTTATTGGGGGAGGACCCTACTTACAGCAAACATCTCTGCTATGTTTGCTGTAAGTAAACTTCCAAAATCTGTTTTAGTATCATTCTTCAATCCAACAAAAAACATTGCGTTAAAAAAACAACACTGCCAGTTAAATACAAAACATTTGCTCTAATAGGGAAGCTCAATTATTATTATTATTTTTACAAAGGTCCATAGCATTACTTTCAAAGCAGTGGCTTGAAATGTTCTGCTGCAGGCCTTTGTAAAAATCCTGTGGTATCCCTAAAGTGACTTCTATGGGCCTGCAAATCTCTTGGGAAGTCAAGAGGACAAATGTCAGCGTGCTGGAAGAAGCAAAGGCCACCATCACTGAAGCGATGGTCCTCCGCCATCAGATCCGATAGACCGGCCACGCTGTCTGAATGCCTAACCACCATCTCCCAAAGAAGTTCTACTCCAAACTCAAGAATGGAAAATGGAATGGTGGTGGGCAGGAAAAGAGATTTAAAGATGGGCTCAAAGCCAACTTTAAAAACTCTGGCATAGACACGGAGAACTGGGAAGCCCTGCCCCTTGAGAGCTCCAGTTGAAGGTCAGCTGTGATCAGCAGTGCTGCAGAATTTGAAGAGGCACGAATGGAGGGTGAAAGAGAGAAACGTGCCAAGAGGAAGGCACATCAAGCCAACCCCGACCGGGACCGCCTTCCACTTGGAAATCAATGCCCTCACTGTGAGAGAAGATGCAGATCAAGAATACGGCTCCACAGTCACCTACGTACCCACCGCCAGTACACTGATCTTGGAAAACAATCCTACTCAGACAATGAGGGATCACCTAAGTAAGTAAGTCTATGGGCCCTTCCACACAGACATATAAACCTGAATATCAAGGCAGAAATTCCCACAATATCTGCTTCGAACTGGGATATCTGAGTCCACACTGCCATATATTCCAGTTCAAAGCAGATAATCTGGGATTTTATTCAGCTGTGTGGAAGAAGCCTAAGACAGGAGACATCTACTCCTATTTTGTAATGTCTGTACCATGAATTTCTTTGCCAGGGAATATCTTGGAAGAAAAAAGTTTTGTACCCACTAACATTCTGTTTGCTGTCCAATTTCACATGGAAAATTTTAGTTGTATTCCCTAACCTGCTATAGTTCAAGTATACAATCTTTGCTTTAGGGTTACCATCTGGATATCTTCAAATAAACCAACTGGGGAATTTTAAGTAAGCCTTAATATTTATATGAGGCATTTCAAAACCTGAGTCCATTTGAGTGATGTTGCTACCACTTCAAGGAAAGTGATAAGTCTAATTTGCCTCTAGCAAAATCGCTCTTGCTTCAGAAGGTAGAAAGATATTCTTCCTTAAATATTTGCCATTATACTATAATTCGTACTATTAAGGTCTGTAAAAATTCTCACCATTCTACATTATGCATTTATGCAGAATAAGTGTCATTATGTGAAACCATAGCCAATTAGCTCACGTTCTCTCACTTGATTTGAAGCTGATGGAAATGCATAACAAATGTGGAAAAGTAAAATCCAATTAATGGGTTATAAAAAAATATTGCAGATTGTTGTATTTTCTTCTACCTTACTGCTAAAGTGCAACACACACACACAAATACATATCAGTATTACACAAAATGTATTTCCAGACTCTTCTAGAATTTTCAATCACAGCAGAATATTAATTTATATGCTTGAGGAGTAAGCAGAACAACACATTCTTATCTATAAGAATTATGTTGCTCCCTCTAAAGTTTCTGAGACTTGTAACCCAGAAGTTTTCATGATCTCTTCTCAAACATAACCACAAGCTTTGTATGCCAGATTTTTACTGAAACCATCAAGCATTTGTACCTGAAATATCAAAATTTGCTCAAAATTTGTTCAAGTTCCTGTTATTTTTACCAACTTATACCAGCCTCAGTGTGAATACCTTTGTGGTAAAAGTGTTATTCAAGTCAGCTTTTTACCAGCCTCTAGGAAGACTTTAGTGACACAGAGTGTTTTACTGAACAACCTCTCAATAGTACCTCAGCCTGTGCATTAGTAAAATGGTGGCAGCGGAAAGCTTTTAAAAAATCAGTTTTAAGTCTCTCAGTTCCAGTGGTTCCCAGTCCCTAACTGCTAAATAGACAGCTGGTCCAATAACTATTCTCCCTCTATATTTTTGATGAGATAATCTGGAGTGGTGTCATCGTTATAATTTGGTAGCCTGCTGTGTGGTTGTTATAATTTGAAGAAGCAGCAGTGTGATTCTTTTTATTATTATTATTATTATTATTATTATTATTATTATTATTATTAAACTTTATTTATACCCCGCTACCATCTCCCCAAGGGACTCGGTGCGGCTTACATGAGACCAAGCCCATAACACAACAATACAAGCAATAACAACAAAAATACAAGCAATTAAAATCAAACAAAAACAATAAAACAATAACATAAGCATTAACAGTAGGACAACACACTTTAAAATCTATGGGTAGGCCGAATGTAATTAAAAATTAAAAAAAATAATGCTGGACATGGGCAAAAAAAGTGATGGGGTGTTTGTGGAAACATACAAGCAGACCTAAAACAATATAAACAATATAAAGTGCTTTGGAGGACAAAGTGCTATGGGATCATTATTCTGGGAAGGCACACTAGAACAACCACATCTTTATAATTTGGCTGAGCGAGGGTCGGATTCGTTATAGCCCTCTTCTCAGCATGGGGAGGACGGGGAGATAGGGGAGGGCTGGAGGAAGGAACCTGAGGGTCTACATCCATCCTATGGGCCGGGGTTTGCCCACACCTGGGTTGCCTACTACCATCAG